ATCGAGGACTGGAGGGTATCTAGCAAAGGGTCGTATTCTGACCATGCCTGGATAGTCTTCACGGTGGGATTCGAAGTTGGGAATCCCAAACCTTTTAGGAACCCTAAAAGAACAGATTGGGTTAAATTCAGAGCCATCGTGCGGGCCAAGCTCATGGTCATGCCCGATATTAACAACTATATTAAGGAAGTCGAAGAACTTGATGCGCAAATCAGTAGATTTGAGAAAGTCATGGGCGTGGCTTTCAGAGCATCCTGTCCTTTGAAATATTCAAAAAAAAAGTATCCCCCGTGGTGGAACGAAGATTTGAGTAATCTCCGGAAGATTACCAGGGATGTCTTCAATATCTGCTACAAGAATGGGTTCTGGCAACCTTATAAGGAGTGCCTGAGAGAGTATAAAAGGGCTATCCGTTCCGCAAAAAGCCAGGGTTGGAGGGATTTTTGCGGAACTGTAGAATGTACCAGGGATTCTGCCAGATTGAGCAGAGTGCTTTCCAAGGACCATACCAGTCCTTCTTTTCTGAAGGATGAGGGTGGGACATGGACAAAAACATCTATGGAAACTCTCAATTTACTAGTGGACACGCATTTCCCGGGTAATACCGGGTCGGCTCGGGAGGCTATCCAGTTGGATTCCCTTCCGGGGCAGCCTGTGTCGAGTGAAATGGTTGAAGCTATTATAACGGTGGAGAAGGTTAGCTGGGCGATAGATAACTTCTCTCCATACAAAACGGCGGGGATAGATGAGATATTTCCAGCTATGTTACAGAAGACGAAGGAACTAATAGTTCCGTGGCTTCTAAAAGTTTTTAGAAGTTGTCTTATCCTTGGATACGTGCCCAAGTCGTTGAGACGTGTAAAAGTTGTTTTCATTCCCAAACCGGGAAGAAGGGGCCATGAGGGCGCCAAAGATTTTCGACCAATTAGTTTGACTTCCTTCGTTCTAAAAGCGCTGGAGCGCGTTCTGGAGCTAGGGCTCAGGAACAGAATGAAGGAAGTTCAACTTTCGCCTTCCCAGCATGCATATTGCGGGGGAAGGTCCACAGACACCGCACTACACGAGGTAGTGAGGACTATCGAACAATCTATCCATTATAAGCAATACACGTTGGCGGCCTTTCTAGACGTGGAAGGGGCTTTCAACAATATTGGTTCGTGGGCCATAGAAAATTCTCTGACTCAGTTGGGGTTGGAAGATGCTTTGGTACGCTGGATATTATCCATGCTGCGGACCAGGATCCTGTATTCGGATCTTGGTGATAGTAGTGTCGCAAGGTACATTAGTAGGGGAACGCCCCAAGGTGGGGTGATTTCGCCACTTTTGTGGCTTGTTGTTATGAACGAGGTTCTACTGCAACTTGAAGAAAGGCGAGTGAAGGCAGTGGCATACGCTGACGACCTAGTAATCCTGGTTTCCGGCTTTGACCTTCCAACAATCAGTGGGGTTTTGGAAGGATCTCTAAATGTGGTGAGCTCTTGGGCTAAAAGATGTGGCCTTGGAGTGAACCCAGCCAAGACGGAACTTGTACTTTTTACGACTAAGACAAAAATCCCGAGCTTTGGACTGCCCCGATTGGGTGGTTTGCGGCTCAGTTTGAGTCCGGCAGTTAAGTATTTGGGAGTCATACTCGACTCTAAACTTAACTGGAAGCTTAACGTGCAAGAGAGGGTGAACAGGGCCTGTACGGCACTTTACACCTGCAAAAAGATGGTCGGCAGGAGGTGGGGGCTGAAACCTAGAATGGTTTTATGGTTATACACGGCCATTGTACGACCTATATTAACTTACGGTTCACTCGTGTGGTGGCCGGCGTTGGGGAAAGCTTACAACTGTACCAAGATCGGTAGGGTACAGAGGGCTGCATGCATAAGCATTACGGGGGCATTGAGATCGACGCCCACGGACGCTATGGATGTACTCCTCCATTTGCTTCCACCAGACATCCATATTAAGAATCTAGCCGCGGCAAGCGCCGTTAGACTCAGAGAAGCTGAGTGCTGGCACGAAAGGCCGTATGGCCACGGCAATGTCCTTCAGTCACTACCGGACGGAGTGGTTGCGGATGCTACAGACTATTGCATCCCTAGACTTGAGCTTGACAAGAAGTTTCGGGTTGAGCTTCCGTCTCGCGGGCAGTGGAAAAGAAATCTTCCACTGCAAGGCTTTGATGTTGCTCTCTTCACTGACGGTTCCAAGGATAGGAATGGGGTCGGTGCTGGAGTATTTTCAGGGACTCAGAACATATCGGAGTCATATCGCCTTCCCAACGGATCAAGCGTGTTCCAGGCGGAAGTATTCGCCATATGGAAGGCATGCGAAATCCTGGGAAGGGATTTGGTTGTGGCCCGGGAGGTCGCAATTGTGACGGATAGTCAGGCTGCGATTCTGGCTCTAAATTCGCCAAAGATATTCTCAAAGTTGGTAGGGCTTTGCTACGATGAGCTGACGAGATTGTGCAGTCATCATAGTATCACCTTACTCTGGGTTCCGGGACATAGGAACATACCAGGAAACGAGCGGGCTGACGAGCTGGCCAGATGTGGGTCGGCATTGGACGGCTCCAGGGCCGAGCGAGTTCTTGTCCCTATAAACACCATCAAAACTGATATATACCGCTTCCAAGTGGCATGTGCGGACCGCAGGTGGAGGGGCCTGAGCACATGTGCAGCGGCTAGGAAGACGTGGCCGAAATACGACCATAAGAAATCAATGAGCCTCCTGGCGATGCCTCGACCGGACATAGCTAAGTTAGTGGCTGTGTACACGGGGCATTGGCCTGTGGGGGATCATGCAGCTAGGCTGGGAATTCCCTTTAATACGTCATGCCGCAGTTGTCGGGAGATAGACAAAAAAGAGACGCTTTTTCACTATCTCTGCGAGTGTCCGGCTCTTCAAAGGGCCAGGTTGTTGTCATTTGGGGAAACGGACATAATGGAACTGGGGAGCATTTCTAGTAAAAGTATCGGGGACGTAAATAAGTTCCTTAAAAGAACGGGGTGGCTCTGATCGCTGGCCCTGGACCAACGTACTTTGACAACCGGGTTTCACGAGGCGGTGGTAGCAAAACGGCACGTCAGTGCTAATTGGGGTGTTGGCCAGTCGGGTCGCACCGGCCACTCTAACCAACCAACCAACCAACCAACAAAAAACTTTTCAAAAATTTTAATTTTTTTAAATATTTTCTTAAGAAAATTTTAATTGTTATGGCTAAAATTCAGATTTCATATGATTTCATTATGTAATATAAAATCGTACATGATTGAGTTGTAGGTTACTATTTATATTTCGGGTCCTGGCAATACTAGTGCTGCCAGGTGCAATCTGACACTTCCATTGGAAAGTTTGACATTTTTTAGGACAACTTCACTCAGAACGTTTTGTCATTCGAGCGCGAATTGTTTTGTTTACAGTGACTTGAAAAATTCATCTCGATCAAAAAATGGAATTGTCCCGTGAAAATTTTCGTGCGATGATTTTTTACGATTTTCGGCGCGGATTATCGAGACAAGAGTGTCTCGATCAACTTGTTTCGACTTTTGGTGATGAAGCACCATCAAAAACCACTGTAAATCGCTGGTACTAAGAGTTTGGTTTCGGACGCCGTTCGCTCCAGGATGAATTTCGTGAAGGTCGGCCAATTTCGGTCGTTTTGCCGGAAACCATCGATGCTGTGCGCGAAATGATAATGATGGACCGGCATGTGACATACTGTGAGATTGAGGCATCCTTGGGCATTAGTTCCACCAGCGTACATAAGATATTGTATGAACATCTTGCCGTGAAAAAGGTGTGTTGTCGATGGATCCCAAAAAATTTGACGATTGCACAAAAGAAGGCTCGTGTCGATTGGAGCAAAGAAATGTTGGAAAAATTCAATCGCGGTGCGTCAAAAGACGTTTATAAGATAGTCACAGGTGATGAATCATGGATCTATGCATATGAGCCCGAAACGAAACAGCAATCGACCGTATGGGTGTTCCAAGACGAGCCAAATCCAACAAAAGTTGTTCGTGGAAGAAGCACATCGAAGCAAATGATCGCGTTTTTTTTTGGTATAACCGGTCATGTGGCCACAGTACCTTTAGTGGAACGTAGGACGGTCAATTTTGAATGGTACACCACCATCTGTTTGCCGAAAGTTTTCGAAGAAATAAGGAAAACAAACAAGCGCCGGCGAATCATTCTTCATCATGACAATGCAAGCTCTCACAAATCACCTGAAACAATGGACTATTTGAGCACTCAAAATGTCGAATTGATGGGTCATCCGCCGTACAGTCCTGATTTAGCACCCAATGGCCTCTTCTTATTCCCTCACATCAAAAAAAAAATGCGTGGACAACGATTTTCAACACCTGAAGAAGCAGTCGATGCGTTCAAAAACCATGTTTTGGAGGTGTCTCAATCGGAGTGGAAAAAGTGCTACGAAAATTGGTTTCGGCGCATGCAAAAGTGTATTGATCTTCATGGGGAATATTTTGAAAAACAATAAAACCATTTCCAATGATAAATGTTTGTTTTTTATTGCTAGACCCGAAATATAAATAGTGACCCTCGTAAGAGTAGTTCCGTGAATGGTTTACATATTTTGTTGTCATAATCATATACTTATATATGCAATGATAACAATAAGTAAGAATTTTAAGGATACGAGTGTAGTAATAATGATTTATTCCAATCTTACATATATTATATGAAATAAATAGAAAATTTCAGAATTCTAAATATTGTTTTGACATAAGACCGTCTTAATAACCTACCCAAATTGAAAACTTGAGAAAACAAAATACTTTAATTATTACTGTGCACTCAGACTCTCTGATTGAAAACTGAATTATTTGAAAGCTCTACAAATTTGAGATCTATTCAGAAGCACAAAATTATTTAAAAATATTGCAACAAATAATTTCAAATTATTCAAAAAATCTTTGAAAATATAATAAAATTATAAAAAATAATAAAATATAATAAAAAAATTTTTATATTTCAAAACTTACCTGTCCCATATTAACAAATCCATATTTATTTGCAATTGTATCAGCTGATAATTTACCAGAAGGAACATATACAGCAAATTCATTCATATAAATTGGTTTTAATTTTGGTATATCATGATTAAAACCAAAACCATTATGATAATTTTTATATAAAAAATTTTCAATATCTGTTATATTATCATTTATATTATAATTATTAATATTAATATCATTATTATATTCATTTAAACCATGATCATTATCATTATTATTATTTATTTTTATATTATTTTCTTTAATTATTTTTGTTTTATTAAAATTATTATTATTATTATTATTAATAATATGACCAATTTTAATAACTTCAACTTCAGCAAATTCAATATCATTTAATTCGTTGTTATTTGATTTTGTTTCATTAATAATTGAATTATTATTATTATTATTATTAGAATTATTTACAAATTTATTTTCATTATTAGTATTAACAATTTTATTATTAATATTATTATTTACATTAGTGTTATTATTATTTTCAACTAATAATAATTTTATATTATCATTTAGTGTTTCATTATAATCATAATGATTTTCATTTTCATTATTATTATATTGATGTTCATTTTGTTTTATTTGATGATCTTTATGTTTTTCTTGTTGTTGTTTATCTATTATTTGCTGTTGTTGTTGTTGTTTTTGTTGAAAATTATTATTATTTTCATTATTATTATTATTTTGAATAAAATTTAAATTTTCATTTGTAATTTGACAATTAACACTACTTAAATGATAACCACATAAAAATATTACAATATAAAAATACATTAAAAAATTATTATGAATATTTAAATTGTAATTTTTATTTTTATTAAAAATATTTAAATTATGTAAAAAATTTTTATTATTCTTATCATAATTATTAATAATATTATTTTTATCAATATTAGTCCGAAATTTTTTATGATTTAAATAAATTTTTTTATAATTATCTATATAATAATTATTATTATTATTATTATTTATATTAAATAAATTATTTTGATTTTGACGCGAGGACGACACATTATTAAATTTTCTTGATTTTTTCTGATATTGATGATCATTATTATTATTATTGTTTTTAATAGATGAATGAAATTCAGTAATTTCATTATCATTTTTAATTCTTTTATTAAATTGAATTGACATAATTGTTTTATTATTGATATTTTTATATTTCGCTGTAATTTCTCCTGGTATTTTTTTATTTGATGAGGAGCATTCATCGTCATTTTGATTTTGCAAAAAATTCATTATATAAAAATCGGATTAAAATCGAAAAAGAAAATTTAGATGGTGTTTTTTTTTTATGGAAAATAGTTTTTTTTTTTTTAAATTATTTAAAAATTAATTAAAATTGAAAATTATTTTAAAAAATTTCATAAGTGCTTTTGTTTTTGATTTAAAAAAATGAGAGAAATCGAATAAGTAGGACACTTTAATAATATTTTTTATTTTAATAGAAACTTTTAGTTTATATTTTGGTTAATTTTAGTTAAAACCCATGTATTTTTTTTTAAATAAATTTAAAATCACTTTAATAAAATTATTACAAACATAGAGAATTAAGACTTTAATTGGTTTTTTATTAAAGTTAATTAGAAAATTTTTCTGATGTTATTTAATTGTTGCTCGTTGATTCATCTGAAATGAAATAGAATTGAAAAAAAAAACATTAATTATTAAGATAAAATTAGATAATTAAAATTAACATAAAAATATTAATTTATTAAGATAAATTAATATTTTTATGTTGTTGTTGTCATTTATTAAATATATAAATTACTAAATTAATTTACTAGAATAAAATTAATGTAGAAATAAACGATTTATTGCAAATTAATATGAACACGCTTCAATAAATTGCAAAATTTTTAATTAAGATATGTGACAAACAAAAGCAATGATTGACAGCTATAAATTCGTATTGTTTGCAAATAATTTTAAAACTTTTTTTTTTTGCAAAATTAAAACAAATATAAAAGTCACGAACTATGTTGCCCGGAAGTACTTCAGAATTTATAACATTATTATTCGCTTTTGCTCTGAATGCGTATGAGAATAAATCTCACTGAATGAGAAGAAAAGAAGTGTGATTATCGCATAATTTGTCTATTTTAATATTTCATATAAGGAATTTTCCGTATGAAAAGAAGATTCAGTCACTTTGTTCTCAAAAATGACAAATGCAGCAAATATTTTGTTAAAAAATGAGAAAATCATCATACGGAAGTACTTAAGAAGTAAACATCAGTTAATTATATTAACAAATTTTTGAATATTTATCTAGAAAATTTTGAAAATAATATCTTACAGTAACAGAGTTCTGAGGTTTTCTTTCTTCGTAAACAATAATATAAAACTTTCTTCGTAAACAATAATATTTCCATGAATATGCTCCGGAATTATACTACCAATTGAAGTTTACATGACGGTCTGTTAACATTTAATACATAATTTTATCAAAACATACTAAATAAACCGAATTAGTTAGATTATATTAGATTATATTTATCGTATAATCTAATCGTATACTAAGTATTCAAAATCAAAGCTAGATTTGAACATTATCATATTAATAATGCATATATATACTCATATTATGTATGTATGTAATTTAATTAATAATTTTATGTTAAACCAAAAAAACGAATATTCTTCTCGCAAAATTTATTCAAAACAAAATGCTGCTGTATACAATAAAAATTCACAATATTTAAATTTATAATATTTTTATTAATAAAAATATTCACTAAAATTTCAAAAATATTTATGTATATAAAAAATACAGAAATAATCAAATTTTCATTTCAAACGATATATAAAGTAATTATACAATAATAATAATAATAATATATTTATATATAAAAGTATACAATCAGAATGTGTGCTCTTTTGCATAATTTTATTAAAATTTTCAATAAATTGCCATACAACACTTTAATTCTATATTCTATTCTTTGTGCTTGAAATGAGAGAATGAGAGAGTGTATATTTTGAATATTTTAATGAAAAAATAATCTGTGGTAAAAAGTCAAAACCACGTAAATCTATATAAAATTAGTAATTTCAAATAAATTAATTATTTAAAAAGAAGAAGAAGTAAATTAAACTTAAATGTTTTTAAAGCTACCACTTTTGAAAATATTCGAGTGTCTATAACTAAATTTTGCATTTTGAATCGAAAAACAATTTAACGTCAAATTTTACCAAACCGAATTGAATTAATATTTTTTTGGGATTATAAATTTGAAATGTATGAAAAGTTCCACACATGCGGTTATGATTTTTTTTCTACGTAATTTTTCTTACTTATGTTGCTTTGCCTTATTACCACCGAAATTCGTATTTTAAAGATATTCGACGAACAAACAAATGTACGCCTGTATGTATTGAAAAAAAAAAACTAAAGAAATCCTTATAATATTTTCTCAAATATGATGACAAAAAAAAACAGGACGAAGAAACAAACACAAAGATGAAAAATATAGAGAAAAAGGAATAAAAATAAAAATACTTTTTTTAAGTGGATTTCGTTAAAATATTGATTATGCATGAAAAAAAAAAATTTTTCTTCTCGCACTGATAGGATCGACATAAAATCATCAATTCAGGAGGATTATTTCGGTATTTTCTTTCAAAAAAAAAAAAAAATTTGTTTTCTTTTTGTTTTGATGGTTACTTTTTTTCTTGTTCAACTGCTTGAATATGCTTTGAATACTCGCCTGAAAATGGTTATCTAAAAAGCAAAAATTTTCTTATGAATTTCGAATTTTCGATTATGAATTTTTTTTTATTTTCATTTTCATTTCCGATTCCGTTTTTTCTTTTCTTCTTTTTTTTTTTTTATTTTGGGGTTCTGGGAGGAAGAGTGCGCGAAGAATACAAAAATATACTCTCGAATAAAAATTTATGGAAATTCAATTATGATTAAATTTTATTTATTTTCTGTTTTTTTCTGGTTTAAAAAATATTTCATTCAAATTTGGAATAATTCATATAATTTTATTTTTATTTTACATACTTTTTCTTTTTCAAGAGGAAACTTTCATTGACAAATTTACCCAATATCTTGTGTATACGACGCCGCTGCGTTTTGTATAAATTGCGGGGGTTTCTTTGTTTTTTATCCAAAATTTATTTTTTTTTTTTGGGAAAATAAAAAATTTAAATGAATACGAAAATGAAATTTAAGTGATTTTATAAGAGGTTAATTAAAAAAAAAATTTTTTTTTTATTCCTTTTGTGTGTTTTCTTTAATATTTTTAATAAAAAAAAATTAAAAACAATAAGGAAAATTCATAAATATTTAAATAAGGGTAAATACCAAGAAAAGAACAAGAAAACATAAATTGAAAATTTCTTTGGAAATTAAAATTTTGTATAAGGAATTGAATGGTATACAAAATCCAATTTAAAGTATAAGTATGCTGTGTACTTTACACAGGCAAGCATAAACAAAAAATTAGCTCTCAAAATTAGTTGGACATAAAAATTAAATAAATTTTATTTATATTTAATGATCAGTTTTATTTTAAGAAATAATATGCAAGGTAAAAAAAAAAAATTCAATTTATGAAAGGAAAGGATGAAAATAAAAATTGTAATTAATTTTTTTTTTAAAATGATCAACGTAGTCAAGTCGTGCTCTGTAAGAAATTAAAATTTTTCTACATATTTTCAGCTCTTTTCAATCAAAATGATTTGAACAGACCATAATTTGAACGGTAAATTCGCATTTACTTGTATTCTATTACAGAATAAAAAAAAATTATTAGCTGAGCTTGTGGTGAAGGGAAACTAATATTAACGTTCATTATAAGGCGTATTCGAGACTCGAAAATATTCAGAATGACAGAATGGGTGACAAAACGGGCAAAAAATATTAAAAAACTTTTCATTTGGTTGCCCTTCTTTCCGAATAATGTCGTCTCAAAATAGGTCTTTCTGAAATTCATTCAATTTTTACACTCTTATCCTTATGTTTTGTGATACCTAGACTTGGTTTAATCCAAATAAAATTAAAATTTTTAAAATAACTCTGAATTCTTGAACAATTTTCATTTTAACCATTCCTTGATCCTATTTATTACGTGCAACTAACAAATTAGTTTTACTATCTAAAGTGTCTTTTAAAAAAAAGCAAGGATGTTCCAAAATCTTTAAGCTTTATTTGAATTATAATAATTTTGAATTAATCAGAACCTTTAAATTGCATCATTTCATATTGACATGAAATTTTATAGTAAAAAATTTTAAAAAGGCAAAATTATCATTCTGAACCATGCAATTTAAGCACTTAACGCAGAATAATCAGCGTTAAAACTTTATAACCTTATAAATATATTGTAGAAAAGAAATTTTATCTTGTCAATATAAATGCTATATAGACCACCAAGAACCAGGTATTTAGGAAAACAAAAATTATTAAATAGAAAAAATTTTCATTGCCTTCTGAGAGAAAATTCTGAAATACAGAAAAAATAACTCAACTTTTATTTATATAAAGGGAAAAGTTTCCCCAAACAAATACAGTGAAAATACTTTTTGTTGTCTATCCACTTTGGTGGATTTGTTAAATGGACAATAAAAAAAAAAAATGAAAATATTTTAGTTATTTTTCATTTTTGTTAAATTAAATTTACTGTACTCAAGAGATGTTGCAATAAAACATACAAAATGAACGTTACTAAAGAAATAAATAAAAGAGTTAAAAAAAATTAAAAAAATATTTTTACAATGCATAGCACAAAGATTTTTGTATCGGTCGCATTGCTTACATTAAGGCTCGGTATGGCAATGGAACCAAATTTAGCTAATTTTACAATGAATTTCTACGAAAACTTATATCTGAGTTTACTTTTAGTATGTGATGTCTTGATTAACATTGACTGACGTAAAATCTAGGCAGCTCAGTTTTTAATATAAGGTTCGATTTTACATTACCATTTAATATACGGTTAGATTTACATATACATTGGTATAAGAAAATAATCAACAAAATTTATTTCAAATTCTCTACAACAATATCAATACTGATTGAAAAAAGAACGAACAAATACACGAGCTTTCACTATAGCATACTATTAAGTGATCACCTTAATATCCTAAAATTGAATAATTGGAGATTGCTTGTCAATAAAACTAGCTGGAAAGCTTGTCTAGAAAATCAGATTCCATAGACTAATAAATCTAATACGAAACTAGATTTCCATTTTGAAAGATACGATTGTTAACTTGCACGTTACTAATTTTTTAATTGGAAAAAATCTTTGAAATACATTTTTGTAATTTTGAACAATGATTCAAACTTATTGTAACTTAT